TGGGGGATCCCAGAGGTGTTGTCATCTTGGTAGATTGTCCTCTAAGGTCACAGGGTGATGGTGTGGGCTGCTTATTTTATTTCCAAAGTCGTTTGTTCTCTAGTATTGTTTTCTTCTTCTTTTCCTCGTAGGATAAGGTGACCAGATTTTAACACTGGTAAAGCGGGACAAAAGCGGGACACCATTGATAAAACTCATATCCTGGTGAAATAGCCACATGGCAGCCGAAAACCGTATACCCTAGCTTGTCTGCATTCTTTCCAAAAATCGGAATTTTTAAAAAACACCACGGGACGTGGGAAAATTGTTAAACATCGGGACGTCTGGTCACCTTATCGTAGGACCAGGCGCTCTCCATGGTTTCTTCAGCGACCATGTGTGAACCGTATTTTGGGGGCGTTTTCCCTGACACCCATGTGATCACATGTCTGCTGTTTAACTTTCCCTCCCGGCCCTGGTCACCCTCAAAGAATGCTCCTTTGGTGTGAAGACCAGAGCTTGGGTTTCTGTGGTAGTGGCCCCCACCCAGCATCCATCCCTTTGTAACTCACTTCCGCAGCAAGATGTCCTCCAGGTTCCTCCAGGTTGTGTGCTTCGCAGATTGCTCGTCCTCCGTCCTGAGGTCGCCCGGTGTCCCACCGTGTGCGTGCCCCATCGTGTGTGCACCCATCCATCCATCTACAGCGGGCGTGAGGATGGTTTGCACCCTTTTGCTGCTGCGCGTCTCGCTGTGGTGAGCATGGCCCCTCCGTTCCCATCGCAGCTCCCGTTTCTCAAGGCTTATGTACCAGTTAGAGGGACTGCCTCGTCTTGGGGCATTTCTAACTTTCTGAGAACGCGCCCTGCCTCTTTCCACCCGGGTTGCAACATCTGGTCTCCATGCCCTCACACGCTCGCCAGATGTGGTTTGTTTGTTTGTTTGTTTGTTTGTTTGTTTGTGGACTTGGCTCAGTGCTGGGTGAGATGGTAGCTCCCTGTTGTTTGATTCCCACCCCTGGAACTGCTAACGATCTGCAGCACATCTTCATTCGTGTTGTTGGCCGTCTGACTGTTTGTCGTTAAGGTTGTTCTCTGTAGATTCGACAGATTCATTCCTTGGCATGTAGGCGTCATCTAGCCTGTAGTGGCTTCTTCTTACGCTTCTGATGCACCCCAGGACAAATGTGTAAATTTTAGGGGGGTCCGGGCATGAAGTTTGCCTTCTGCAGTGTGTCTTTTCAGCTATGTGTGACAGTTGGGGGTTTTGTTGTTTTTTTAATCATTTTATTAGGGGCTCATACAACTCTTATCACAATCCATATATACATCAATTGTGTAAAGCGCATTTGTACATTCATTGCCCTCATCATTCTCAAAACATTTCCTCTCCACTTAAACCCCTGGCATCAGGTCCTCATTTTTCACCTCCCTCCCCGCTCCCCTCTCCCTCATGAGCCCTTGATAGTTTATAAATTGTTATTTTGTCATATCTTGCCCTGTCTGACGTGTTTAAACCCCAAAAGCAAACCCTAAACTCACTTCCAGAGGGCCTCTTCCCCCTCCAGGGTTCCCATGACATTGGATCTTTGCGGGAGCAGACGGCCTTATCTTCCTCCCGTGGAACGGTGGGCTGGTGGGTCTGCACTGCCAGCCTGGAAGTTAGCACTCCAGCACCTCACCCACAGTGCCTCAAGTGCTCCTGGCACCCAGTGTGACAAACCAAAAACTCCCTGCCAGCGAGGCAATCCCGACTCATAGGGACCTGAGGATTTCCGGGGCAGTGTGTCTTTACAAAGAACAGACTACCTCATCCTTCTTTATGGGAGCATCGGTAGATTTGAACAGCCAACCTTGCAATGTTGTTGTTAGGTGCCATTGAGTCAGTTCTGTGTGCCACAAAACGAAACGCTGCCGGTCCTGCGCTCTCCTCACACTTGTTCCTGGGGCCGAGTCCATTGGCACAGCCACTATGTCAGTCCATCTTGTTGAGGGCCTGCCTTTTCCCCCACTGCCTCTCTCCTTGACCAGGCCTGATGCCTTTGCGACAGCAGCCAAAAATGTAGTAAAAATTAAGTAAAAATCCAAACCACTGACAAGGAATCCATTCCGAGTCTGAGCGGCGCTGTGTTGGGTTTCGGAAATGGCGCATCAGTACAAGAGTGCGCAGCCTTATCGTTCTCCTGCAGGATGGCTGGCAGCTTTGAACTGCTGACCTTGTGGTTAGCAGCCCAGTGCCACCAGAGATCCTGTGCCATGGGTGGTTGTTGCTGTTAGGTGCTGTAAGGTCATTTCCAACACATGGCAACCCTAAGTACAACATAAGGAACCAGTGCCTGGCCCCGTGCCAGCCCCAACATCGTTGCCATGTCCAGTCCCATCCATTTGTTTCCTCAAGGGTCTTGCTCTCTTTTGCTGCCCCTCTACTTTACCAAGCATGATGCCCTTCTCCAGGGGCTGGTCTGTTGGCAAACATGTCCAAAGTATGTGAGGCCGAGTTTCCCCACCTCTGCTTCTAAGGAGCACTCTGGCTCTACTTCATCCAAGAGAGATTTATTTGTCTTTTTGGTAGTTCATGGTACTTTCAATATTCTTCTCCAGCACCACCGTAATTCAAGCACATCTTTCCTGTTAGAATGGGAAATGGAGGCCCACGGTAGGAACAGGGTTTTTTTTGTCAGTCATTGGAGAGAGTCTGTGTGTGGGAAGTGCTTCACTGGGCCTTGTTCCATTATTACAGATGCTGGACAGGTGGGTGGATGGCTAGGTGGATGGGTGAACAGGTAGGTGGATAGATGGATGAATGGATAGCTAGGTGGATGGATGGATGAATGGATAGCTAGGTGGATGGATGGATGGATGGATGGATGGATGGATGGATGGATGGATGAATGGATAGCTAGGTGGATGGATGGGCAGGGGGATGGATGGCTAGTTAGGTGGATGGATAGCTAGGTGGATGGATGGGCAGGGGGTTGGATGGGCTGAGAGATGGATGGACAGGTGGATGGATGGCTAGGTGAGTGAATGGACAGGTGGATGGATAGCTAGGTGGTGGATGGACAGGACGGTTCTCAGATCCTTGTCCTGAGAACTGCAGGGCAGAAGTACTCTGTTTCCCTAGAGAATGGAAGTGGGTCCCCTGGAGCAGGCAGGCACTTTGGGGTGGGGCGGGGGTGGGGGCAGGACTCACAGGATAGGAGAGCAACCCAGTGAGGGGCTATCCCATGAGAGAGTAGAGAGGGTGAGTGAGAGCCCAATGCCTAGAGAACTGGAGGAGCCAGTTGTAGCCTGGGGTTTGTAAGATGCGACTCTGTGCACCCTGGGGGACTTCACCAGTTCCGAGCCTTGGCGTTTCCTGTCCTGTCAGGGTTCTGCCCAGAACCTGCCAGCACTAGAGGCGTGCTAGCAGGGGCGGGGTGTTCCTGCACTAGCGTGGTCAACGATGGCCGCCTTGCCTCCATGGCTTCTCTGTGAGAAGGCCCATCTGCCCAGAAGCACCTTTGTGTGGACCCCTTGGCAGCCACCCCTGGAACAGAGCAAAGAGGGCCTCCTACAAACCTTTTAGAGCAACCCTGCGTTTCTGGGCTCTGTTCCAGAGAGCCCCCACCATCCCCGCCCCCCAAACATCCTAGGATATGTGGGGGAGGCAGAGGGGGTGTTATCTGTGCCGCTGGCAGCATCCTGTCCTGTGGACAGTTCTGGGTGGGAGCAGACCAAGGACAGTGGGAGGGATAGGGCAGTGTTAGTGAGCAAGGATAATCTGGCCCAGTGGACTGCACATCTGGGGAGCCATGTGTATCGGGCTGTATGTTGGGGCTGTGAGAATTTTGAAGAAAGGGTGAGTCGGGGGATTAGGTTGTGACCTCCTCCTGTGGACATCAAACTAACCCAGGGCTCAAATCAGAGGGAAGGTGGTCAGGGAATGGGGGCTGGTAGAAACATTGCTTTGGCAGAATTTTCCAGAGGGGACTGAAGAAGGGAGACAGGAAAGACATGCTGAGGCCGTGGGAGCCAGGCAGAAGGGCCTCTGAGAGGCCTTGGGAATGAGGGACAGTCCAGTGCGTGGGGGGAGACAAAGAAGTGAGGGGACTCGGGTTCAACCTGAGATCTGTCCCCTGGAGGTACCAAGATCCGCAGCCCAAATACTGAGAGATGCCCTGGACAGCCCGGCCCACAGGCCTTCCTCACAGGGCAGAAGTCTCGCTCCCACTCCCTTCTCTGGACTGCTGACCCGCAATGACCAGGGTTGTGGTCCTTTGAGGAGCTGAGGGGCACTCAGTAAAGGAGTCACCACATACAGGAGGCACGGGCCAGGAGACACGCAAGGCCATGCCATTAGTGGCCATCTGTGTATGTACAGTGTGTGCGTGTCCAAGGTCATGGTATTCAGGAGTGTGTGTGTATGTGTGTGTGTGTGTGTGTGTGTGTGTGTTTTCGAGGTCTTGGTATTCATAGTTGGGTATGTGTATGTCCAGGGTCATGCTATTCATGTGTGTGTGCGTTCAAGGTCATGCTATTCATGATTGTGTGTATGTGTGTGTGTCCAAGGTCATAGCACTTGTGGTGGGATGGGGGGTGGGGGTGTTGGAGGACATGCACAAACATGGCACCGTGACTGCAAAAGCCGCTGAAAACAGTGGTGGGGGGCCGGGGGAGTAGGACTGACTGTAAGACCCAAGTCCGATCCTCTTCCCCAAGACCACCCGCCTGGCTGCGCCTTCCCTTGTCCAGTGGCCCTGCCAGGTCACTCCCAGCTTCCAAGCCGCAGGCAGATGAGGTAATGAGGCAGACACAATAGCACAGGTTGCCTCCTGCCTTTCAGCCTTGCCAAGACCTTCCCCCGCCCCTCAGCCCGCAGAGTCCCGGTGAGGGGGGGCGGGGAAGGTGGGCGTATGGCCCCGTGTCCCCGCGCTGGAGTCCCGGCCCCCCGCGCACTCATCAGCCGCTGCGCGGGGTGATCACATGGTCTCCTCCCTGCCTCCGCGGTCCTGCCGCGCGTCAGCAGCTGGCGGAGCTGGAGCTGCAGGCCTGTCCACAGAAAACCAACCACTTCGCAATCTTGGGGCGGGGGGAGCCCCGCCTCTTCTCCGCACCTCGCACCCGCCAAAGGACGAGCTAAATGGTTGTCCTGCGCACCCCCAAAGGCTGCCTCCCCACGCGAGCAGCCTGCCCCTGGCCAGGTCATGTTTGCATTTGAAGAATTCAGGTAGGTCTGGGGCTGTACAGCCACAGCGTTTTGTTCTCCCCTGGTTCTTTTTTTTTTCTTTCTTTTTTTTCTGCTGTGTAATGACAGCTCAGGCCTTGGCTGCCTGGCACTGCAGTGGGGCACTCCCTAGCCTTTGGTGTGGCCATTCCCGGTGGTGGGAGGTGGGCAGGGGGCCCAGCTGCAGGGTGCTGAAGGCATGGGCCATTGCTTTCCTCCTGGGCAGATCCGGGGAGGGGCGGGGGTTGCCCACCTGTGCGGTGTGAAGCCCGGGATCCCGGGCATCGACTTGTTCAGCCAGGAGGTTTCTCCTGCCGTCCTTTGTTTTTCCTCCTTTGTCAAACTCACGGAGCCCACTGCCCTTTGTAAAATAAGATCATCATCCTGAGACTGCCCGTCACTACCGTGGCAGTGAGGGATCCCGCAGGGCTCTCTGCAGCGTCAGGCCCGTCGTGCCCCTGCCCAGCTCTCTGCAGGGCTGTGTGCCGGGGAGAGTCCTGCGGTGTGTGTCTTGAGCCGGCAAGCTTTCCAGCTGCTGCAATTGTTAACGCTCCAAGTGAGAAGAGCCTTTTGTGAATCCCAGGCCTTCCCATTCTTCCTTGGCTTCTCCAGGCATCTGTCCCTGGGGGTGCATGCAGGGGAGGGGTGGGCCCACAGAGAGAGTTTCTGGGAAAGGAGGCAGGGGGAGGCTGCTAGGATTGTTCTCACCCCGATTGCCATCTGATGGAACTCACGTGAGTGTGGTGTGTGTGTGTGTGTGTGTGTGTGTGTGTGTGTGTGGTGTGTGTGTGTTCCTGACCTCTGACGGCACCTCGTTTTTCAAGTAGAGTTTCTCTGTGTTCTTGAGCTGAGCTGAACCCCCACATCGATGGGCTTGTGCGGCACCCCGTGCCTCCCTTTTTATCCCCTCCACATGCTAGCACCATAGGTGTGATGGTTGTAATGGGATAACTGCCCTTTATGATCTCTGGGCAGACTTGGGGCCCTGTCCAGCTATCAGGGCAGGAGAGGACACCACTGGGAGATGCTGGAGTTCGGTTGGTCCCCACCCTCACCTGGCCCGGGGGAGCCGCCCTTTGTTCCCGGGAAGGCCTCCACGTGGCCTCTAAGTGAGCAAGCCTGTGAGAGACAGCTTCTTCCTATGTGGCAGCCTGGTCCAGTGACTTGGGGCCCATGCCCTCCCATAGTGACTGTCCCGGGGAGGCAATGAACAGTAATTGGTTTATTGGCTCATGCAGTAGACAGTCCCCTCGGGAATGCATCAGGGGGCCTGGGTTCTAATCCCAGGAAAGCTTCTGTCAGTGTTGGATGGGACCCGTGGTCCAGGTGGGAGTTCCACATGGTATGACTAGCGTTTATACCAGAGCAAATCCACCTTTGCTATACCCCCTCAGAGAGCTTGTGGAGATTCAAGAGGGAGCATATGGAGAGGAGGGCTTCAGAGCGTTTTCGGGGTAATTCCACGATCTTTCAGACTGCTGTCCCATAGTCTCTTAGAAGTCCCTTCACGTGCACAAGCTCAACCCCATTGCAAGAGCCGAGAGTCGGGCCTGCGGGGGGTTGAGGCCATTGACCTAGTCAACGGGGAAGAGGCCTCGTGATGGTGGCCAGTGGCAGCGATGTGTTTCACTTCAGCTGGCTGGAGGGGTGATGCTGAGACTGGCTGGGTTTGGGGCTGCAGCCTGGTACCAGGCACGTGCTTCCTTCCCTGTATGTACGGTGACCCAGATGACCAGGTGAGGCAGGTAGGGGCCACGTTGGAGGCTGGCTGGCACTCTTGTCCCTGGGCTGCCCTCCTGGGTTTCGCGAGTCAGTGCGCCTGGGGGAGAGCCTGAGAATCTGCATTTCTCGCAAGCTTCCAGGCAAGCCTGATGCTGCAGGCCTGGGGACCAGGATCTGCGAAGCACAGGCTTAGCAAAGCTCCACACAACTTGGCCACCATTGAGACAGGGCATGGGAGGCCAAGTCAGGATGGAGATACAGGATCAGGAAGAAGCAGTTCAAGGTGCAGGCCAGGCAGGCAGGGGGCAGAGCCAGGTAAGCTGGAACCTTGGGAGAGGTAGTCAGACGCTGCAGCGACGCCTCTCCCCCTCCTCCTCCGCCTGGGAATGTCTGACCACAGGCTCCAAGCTCCGAAGTCCATGCCATCGAGCCAAGTCTGACTCATAACAGCCCTGTAGGCCAGGGTAGAACTGCCCCTGTGGGAAACCCCTCTGGGTTTCTGAGATCATAACTCTTGCTGGGAGTGGAAACAAACCTCATCATTCTCCGAGGAGTGGCCGGTGGTCTACCACTGTGCCCCCCCAGGCTTGTGACTGAGCAGGAGAAAGGAGATTGGGAAGAGAATCCGAGGATTTGCCTTATAAACCCCGGCTGCTAGGGCTCTGGCTCTTTCTCTGTCTGCCTTGGAGAATGGAGCCCTGGTGCCTGCCATGGAAATCTGCACGGCTGTCCATGAAGGGAGGTCGTGGGCATGGCATTGGCTCTCTGGAGCATGGCTCAAACTCACGGCCATCGAGTCAGTGCTGACTCATAGCGACCCTCGAGGGGGGAGGGGCGTTCCCCAGACTGTAACTGTTTATGGGAGTAGAAAGCCCAACCTTTCTCCTGAAGGGCTGCTGGTGGTTTCGAACTGCCAACCACGCGAACGGTAGCCCAGCACATCACCACTGCACCGCCAGGGCTCCATAGAGTCCCTCTCATGTGACTCACCCGTGTGTCGACCTGTTCCGTCCTGGTGGGTAGACCCTCCTGCCGATGTACCCTGACCCTGAATCACTCGGGCCACACTCCCTGCAAAGAGGACTCTGGTTTGACACGGAGGTGTCTGTCCACACGGTTCTCCTCCCTACAGATTCTGTGTCTCTCGAGCGCTTTCCTGACCCGGTTCTTGTGGTCACTGCATGTCCATAGTACCTAACTGAGACTGACGTCAGGCCGTTGTGGGCGGGAACAGGCTCGATGGCACCATCGCAGCAACAACAAAGGCCTAAAGGAGCAGTGCACGTGACCCACCTGACCAGGATTTAACGAGGCAGAAAAGCGTTCGGCCCAGGGGCCACCTGGACCACTGGTTTTGAGGCTTGAAAAGTGGACAGCTGGTCTCCTGAGAAAACTGGAAGGTCCTCCACCTGTTTGCCTGAGTGCAGGAGACCTATCCCGTTTTATAAGACCCCAGGGCCGCACTCTGTACATCAGTGGTTCTCAACCTTCCTAATGCCGTGACCCTGTAGTACAGTTCCTCATGTGGTGGTGACCCCCAACCATAAAATTATTTTTGTTGCTAATTCATAACTGTAATTTTGCTACTTTCACAACCACTGTGAAAGGGTCATTTGATCCCCCAGAGGGGTTGGAACCCACAGGTAGAGAGCCTGGGCCAGCCCCTCCCAGCGTGCTAGGGGATGTGTTGGCTGCCATTGGTGGCAAGACTATTGTTCAAACACCGGGCAAGCTGTCAGTGAAGGCTGTTGTGTAGACACACATCCCTCGGGTCTCTGCTCCCTTGGACAGAATGTGTGCTGAGGGTCAGTGGGCTCAGTAGACATGTACCCGCTCCTTCAGGCTCCAACTCGGGCCTCTTCTGTATGGATTCAAATTTATATACCCCGTCTTAGGAAATGTTTTAAGTTTACTGGGCTGTTAAACAACAATAACATATAGCGTCTGGAGTCTTAAAAGCTTGAAGGTAAACAAGCGGCCATCTAGCTCAGAAGCAACAAAGCCCACATGGAACAATATATCAGCCTGTGTGATCACGAGGTGTTGAACGGATCACTGAAGACAAATGGGTGCGTAAGCAAATGTGGCGAAGAAAGCTGATGGTGCCTGGCTATCAAAAA